AGAACCTCAGAAAACACACACACACACACACACACACACACACACACACACACACACACACACACACACATATATATATACACACACACACACTCTGTGTGTGTGTGTGTGTGTGTTTCTATATGTGTGTGTATGTCTCTCTCTGTCTGTGTATATATATATGTGTGTGTGTGTGTGCGTGTGCGTGTGCGTGAATGTGTATATAATATATTATGAACTATTCTAAAAATACGAGTTCCAGGTATACTTGTAAAAGCAGAACAGACATCCTGCAATCTCCAGAACTAAAATTATATTTATTGTACTTACTAAGCTTTTCTCAGCATCTGCTGACATCATCAGAGTATTAAGCTACCATTACAGAGATCTCTGCCTTTATATATCATTAATCAATTTAGCCCTTGCTCGTGTAATAGGCCCTTCCAACCGCCTCCCACCTGTAATTAACTCTGTTGTTTTTGCTTCCATCATGTTGGTCAAAGGAGGCTTGTCTCTTGTTGTTGTTTCCTCCCTTGTCAGACCCAGCCTGGAACGCTTATCTCTAGGAGGTGATGTTAACCTGCCAGCTATTGCAATTTGTTGCTTTGCTCATGACCTTGTGGTTCTTCTCCAGGGAGTCCTTCCTTCTCATGAGGTGGCCAAAGTCTTTTGAGTTTCATTTTCAGGATCTGGCCTTCTAAAGCAGTCAGGGTTGATCTCCTCTAGGACTGGCCGGTTTGATGGCCTTGCAGTCCAAGGGACTCGCAGGAGTCTTCTCCAGCACCTGAGTTCAAAGCCTTCCATTCTTTGGCGCTCAGCCTTCCTTGTGGTCCAACTTTCACAGCCATACATTGCACCTGGGAAAACCACAGCCTTGACTATACACACTTTTGTTGACAGACACACACACACAGAATCCATAATTGACACATGACTCTCTCCATGCCGTTTCTCGTGTGCTCCATTCTCATGTTTCCCAGGGAAGAAGCTGCCCTTCTCCTTATAGCTTCCTTAATATCTTCCTTAATACAGGATTCCACACTCTGCACCTGGAAGTGGGGATGAGGTGCTTCCCTTTGCACATGGTCCTGCAGTACATTGACCATGGAGTTCTGCATCTAACAGAAAAGTACATCCTGAATCTTTGGAAAGGTAATGTTCCTTCTGCAGACTAGAGCAGCTGTCCTCAACCATGGTAACTTTAAAGCCTGTGGACTTCAACTCCCAGAATTCTGCTTGAAAAGGGCTGTGCTGAAATCCAGTGTGATGACCCAGGGTGGGATACAAAATAAACACAGTCACAAAAAACAGGTGAAGCCCTTTTTATTCCTTCACTTTGCTTCCAAGCTCCAAATATCCTTGACTGGAGACAAAAAACTCCCACACAAACAGTTACAAGAAGGAAGAAATGCCATTTGAATTATAAAGAGTGAAAAAAACAACACAAACCAGGCAAGATAAGGGCTGGAAGACATTCACAGATATCAGAACACACACTGGGAAGGACACTAAATTCAGAGAGGAACAATAAACTAGAGATATTTCCATGTTTTGTTTTCAGCACTTGCCCGTACGCGTGTCCATCATCTTAACCGGTTGTCACAGCTGCAGCCCATGAAGAGGATCAAGGCCCTCTCCTTCTGAGTAGACCACATCTTTCCCTTATCCTCTCCTCCCTACATGCCCTAGGATGGAGAGAGGATGGGCCTGGATCTTCCTCTGACTGCCCAGCCGGCCTCTACCCTTCCCCAGTCTCCTCCACAACCTCCGGAGCCACACTTCCACTCCCTGTCAGCTGTTCCTCCTCTCCCTCAGAGTCAGTGTCCACCAGGGGCATGACATCCAAGCAGGATTGCTAGCCCCAGGGAGGACTTCAGCCCTAGACCTTTTTCAGCCCTAGAGTGCAGTAGAGAAGAGTAGAGTAGAATAGGAATACAGAATAGAGTAGAGTAAAATAGAGTAGAATAGAAATAGAAGTTGAGAATAGAATAGGAATAGAATAGAGAATAGATTAGAATAGAGAATAGAGTAGAAACCTCCACTATAAACTACATAAACATGACTAAATAAATAAATAACTAAATACAATCTTACGTCTATACGGTACGATGACCATAACTTAAGTCAAGGGTCCCTTCATTTAGTGTTTTTGTAATTTGAGTGGTTGCTGAATGAATGGCTGTTAAGTCAAGGACTATTCGTACAGATTGTAGTCTGCGCCATGGTGGCGTGGTGGTTAGAATGCAGCATTACAAGCAAACTCTGCCCACTGCCAGGAGTTTGATCCTGATCGGTTCAAAGTTGGCTCGGCTTTCCATCCTTCCGAGATTGGTAAAATGAGGACCCAGATTATCGGGGCCAATAGACTGACATTTGTAAACAGTTCAGAGCAGTATATAAATCTTATGTGCTATGGCAGTTGCTTACATAAATAGTGGCCACTACTACATGTAGGCTAAGCATGAGGATAAAATGTGCCTCTTAAGAATCTTACCGTTTTATAAGAAGGTCTCCATTCTGGGGAATTGAAGTCCACAAGTCTGAGACCTCTTGTATTGAGCGATCCTTTTTAGAGAGGAAAAAAAGCATCCGGAATAGGGAATCCCTGATAATGCAGCCTGTGGTTTTAAATTGATCGATGTACTAGGAATTTGTCGTGAGTCACGGCCACAAGGCTTACTCGGTGTTGCAAGCATCAATGAATAAGCAAAGCAGATGCACATTTGAACACAAAAAAAGCATATTTCTTTTGTATTTCTATGCCTTTTGATACTTGCAGTATTGCATGTTTGACACTTCTGATCCTTATTTTTTTTTGATACTTTCCTCTGAACTTTTTGATACTTGCAAGATAGCAATGGCACATAGACTTATATACCCTGGGTCCTTTGATCATATCTTTTGGTTTATTTTTAAGAATTGGACAACACTGAACAGAACGTGAAGCTGAAGTTAAGTATCCTTACCAGGCTTCCCCAGGTAACTTACTAACTAATTTCTGTATTTAGTCAACCCATCTTGTATCTCTTTGCAAAAAATAAATACATTTTTGGTTGATTCCAGGTAAGGTCAGCCAAGACCTTCTATTCTCTTCTAAAATATTATCGAACTAGGAATGGAATAATGTACTTCTCATACATTTTTTCCAGTTGGTTGGGATCTGTACTGATAAAAAAATTCTCCAAACCAAACAACCCAAAGTCTTGGTTGGCCTAGAAGAGATTTTGGTCTGAATGATCAATGTTCAACGTGTTTATTTTATCTTATGTCATTTTGGTTTTCACTAAATGGATGGTTGTAAGCTGAGAACTACTGGTATCAGTTTGTACTCTCTGTGGATGCTTCGGAAGGTCATTCTGTTCATATAAGCCAGGACTGTCAAACTTGACGGACAGCGGTGCCTCTGCCAGCAAAAATAGAGCTCAGGGAGGCCCCACATGGCCTCCCTGAACTCCGTTTTCACTGGCAGAGGGTTGCAGGAGGCCATCGCGGCCAAAAACGGAGCCTCGATGAGTGACATTGAGCTGGTCACCTCCCCCCCAGGCACCCCCAGGTCAGACACAACCCTGATGCAGCCTTCAATAAAATAGAGTTTGACTCCCCTGCTATAAGCCATAAACTACATTTTTCAGTGCCATTGTAACTTCAAACAGTCGCTAAATCAGTGGTGGGATTCAAAAACGTTTACTACCAGTTCTGTGGGCATGGCTTGGTGGGTGTGGCATGGTTTGGTGGGTGTGGCAGGGGAAGGATACTGTAAAATCCCCATTCCCACCCAATTCCATGGGGAAGGATACTACAAAATCCCCATTCCCTCTCCACCCACTAACCTGCTTTGCAGCTCTGTTCTCCTGTGCAGGGCAACCAAAGAAGACGCAGCCGATCAGCTGGGACTCAATGGGAGGCAGAGAAGAGATGGGGGCAGGGGAGGTGATATTTGCCGGTTCTCTGAACAACTCAAAATTTCCACTACCAGTTCTCCAGAACTGGTCAGAACCTGCTGAGTACCATCTCTGCACTAAATGAATGCCTGTATCAGCACACACTGACAGCCTGCAAGCCAAGGACCACCTATAATGTAGTGTAATATACTACATCGACCATAATAGTATAACTTAATCTAACCACACCTAATCACAGGGCCTTAATGGGAATGGCTGGGTTCGGCTTTTTAAATGGCTAGACTACAGTTCTTTCCATTTTTCCTTTGCCGAGCTCCACTGCACGCAGAGTTATTTTAGAAAAAAATGCCCCATTTGAGAGCAACGTGTTCATTTAAAAAAAAACAAAAAAACGGATTTGTAAGAGTTCAGAGAAGCTTGGTTTAAAATATTTCTGTTATCTTAGTTCAACTGCTCTAAACTCAGGTGAAGACTTGAAAAGTTGAGCAATTTTTCAGATATAATTCCCCACTCCTCCCATCATGCATTTAAAGCCATTCACTGTTTCCTTCTATTAAAATGTAACAACCCTGTTTAAATAGATCTTGAGCAGTTCGTTGTTTTATTATTATTGTTGTTGTTATTGTTATTATCCCCTCAAATATGACTCCAATTTCCCTAATGTTGAATGTATTTCTTTATTTTTTTTAAAAAAACCACACATTTGAAAGTTTTTTTAAAAAGTCTTCACAAGAAGGATTTAATGTCTAGAAAGCTGAAAGGAAAGAAAAGATGATAATCAGGAATAAGATGGATGGACTTGTCTATGGATAGTTCACAATTTGCGACCACAATTGAGCCTGAAATTTATGTTGCTAAGTGAAAAAAAAAGGTTAAGTGAGTTTTTGCCTCATTTTAGGACTTTTCTTGCCAAGTTTGTTAAGTGAATCACCACAGTTGTTAAATTAGTAACCCGGTTGTTAAGTGAATTTGGCTTCCGTTGACTTTGATTGTCAGAAGGTTGCAAAATGGAACCACGTGACCTCGGGACACAGCGAGCGTCGTAAATATGAACCACATGTCCCATATTGGAGTATAAAACAGGGGACCACGGGATTGTTGCGTTGGCCATAAAAGTGGAAAATGGCCGTGCGTCATTTTTTTCCGTGCCTTTTGTAACTTCAAACGGTCACTAAACAAGCTGCTGTAAGTCGAGTATAAGTGGATATATGCTTGGAAAAGTTGAGATACTAAGCTAGGGGAGTGATTGCCAGGGAGAAAGTCTATTTATGTGATTGCACAGGGGGTCATCCCTGATTGGATGGCCCTTAAACAATCCAATCTATAAATATTTTAGAGGAAGCATTGTGTTCCAGGAAACAAATTGGAAGTAAGTGCAGAAATACGTTTTTCTCATATGCTTGTCTCCTTAAACACTTTAAAGAGAAAATTATCTATATTTCTGTGGCTAGAAATCAATACAGCTATCTCTTCAGTATCCCATTTCTGAATTGTCTGTAAGAAGCCTAAGTGAATCTCTTGGTCTAAAGGATTTTAAACCTAATTGTCTCTCCCTCTTTCCCTCCCTCTATTTCTCTCCCTCCCCCTCTCTCTGTCTCTCCCTCTCTGTCTCTCCCTCCTTCCCTCCCTTTCTCCCTCTCTTTTTCTTTCTTTTAAATTTCTTCCGGTAAGGTTCCCTGTCTATTTGAACGAACAAGACGGCTCGAACTTTCTGACAGAAAGGAATTCTTTATTTGGTTGTATGAAAAATACAACACCAACACAAAGCCACTTCTGTTTTCTCACTGTATTTTCTGTTTTGGAGAAGGGAGAAAGTCAACAAAATGACATTTTCTTCCAGAACAGCTGTGACATGTTGGAAATTATTTTTAGAGCCGTAGGTTCAGATCCCTTCAGCCGCAATTTCGTTTGGATTTTGAGCCAGGATTAATATTATTTCGACCTCTGTCTTTGGGGTTGATTAAGAAATGTTTGTGTCTCCTTGGCTCATCCGTGTCGTTTCAAGCAGGGCAAGTTTACATCATGTTTTTATAGGTGGGCTGGAAGAAAATTAATCGTACTAACAGTGCAAGGATGCGAGAATCTGGCATACAGAGTTAGGAGGACAAATCCTTGTGTGTAAAGTGATACAACCCTGAAAATGCTCCTACCGTAGGACAGGTAGTTCTCAACTGACAGAAGGCCCATTTCTGGCCTTCTGGGAGGCCCGTTTTTCACCCTCCCCAAGCCTCTGCACAGGCCCTATACTTACCTGGGGTCCAAAACAGGCCACGTGGGGGTTCCTGGGAGGGGAAGGGCAGGGCCAGCCAGGGGTGGGATTTGCTGGTTCACCAAACCGGCCATAAAAGTAGCTACGGGTTCGCCCAAGCCGGGGTGAACCCGTAGCAGGCCCTATCCCTGTACCATCACATCAGCACCCGTGAAAATACTATTCCCACAAGTACATGTTTTACGTATAAGATGAATGAGTTATGGGGCTTCCACTCTTGAAGGAACAGATTCAATTTCTCTAAGCTGAAGTTCCTATTTGATATTTAAACATTCCCCCCCGTCTCCCTTCTTATTTTGATCATGCAGGCAATTGGGTGCAAGGTTTGTCAGCTGTGGAACCATTCTTTGAGCACACATGTTATGGCAAAGAACTACGTTAAAGTCTTGTTTGAGAAACTCGGCAGTAAACAGGTAAAAAGCTTGAACACCTGTTAAGAATACGGGTTAGTTTGTCCCCACCCCTTTTCTTTGAAAAAAAGAAAATTGACCTCCAGTATCTGAAGAACAGAAAAATACTGCAGTGAGATTCCAATAAATGTTCACACCTTAGCTTTTTTTGGAGTTGAAATCTCCAGCAGGTTCAGTATAGCAATAATACTTAGACTTATATACCACTTTAAAATGCTTTAAAGCCTTCTCTAAGCGGTTTACAGAGTCAGCACATTGCCCCCAACAATCTGGCTCCTCATTTTACCGACCTTGGAAGGATGGAAGGCTGAGGCAACCTGGAGCTGGTCAGGATCGAACTGCTGGCAGTGGCCAGAGTTTGCCTGCAATACTGCATTCTGACCACTGTGGCATGAGGAAGGAGAATAAGAAAAGAATAGGGGAGGGAGGGAGGGAGAGTTTGTCTACAATACGGAATTCTAATCAATGCCACCAGGAAGGAGAATGAGAAAGAAAATAGAAGGAAGGAAGGGAGGGAGGGAGGGAGGGAGGGAGGGTAGCAACAGCACCTAGACTTACATACAGTGCTTCACAGCCCTGTCTAAGCAGTTTACAGAGTCAGCCTCTTGCCCCCAACAATCAGGGTCCTCATTTTTTACCCACCTCGGAAGGATGGAAGGCTGAATCAACCTTGAGCCTGATGGGATTTGAACTGCCAAATTGCAGGCAGCTGATAGTCAGCAGAAGTAGCCTGCAGTACAGCACTCTAACTACTGCGCCATCAAGGCTCTATTGCAGGGCTGTCAAACTCACGTCGTCATGGGGATGTCACATGATGTACTGGGACTTTTTTCCCATTTGCTAAACCATGTGGAGGCGGAGCCAGCACGCGAGGCATCCGGCCCATGGGCCATGAGTTTGACACCCCTGCTCTGTTGCTTACAATAACAGAGTTGGAAGGGACCTGGGAGGTCTTCTAGTCCAACCCCCAACTCAAGCAGGAGACACATGGTTGTCCAACCTCTTTTTAAAAACCTCCCATGTTGGAGCACCCCCAACTTCTGGAGGCAAGTTGTCCCCCTGGTTAATTGTTCTGATTGTCAGGGAAATTCTCTTTATTTCTGGGTTGCTTCTCTCCATGCGTAGTTTCCATCCGTTGCTTCTTGTCCTGCCCTCAGGTGCTTTGGAGAATAGCTGGACTTCCTTCTTCTTTGTGACAGTCCCTCAAATATTGGAACACTGCTGTCACATCACCCCTAGTCCTTCTTTCTTTTCATTAAAATAACTTTGCTTCTCATTCTTCTAAAAGACTGAATTCCTCGAAACGTGGAGTTAAATGATAACCATTATTTGAATGCATTGTCTTTTGCAGTACAATATTCCATTTACGGACAGAATATCACCCCAAATTGAGTTTCTCCCTCTTAACTATTTGGTGACTATCATAGTAGAGATGGAACATCAAGGTAAGTCTGTTTTCTTCTGTTTTATTGTAGCTTAATGGAATTTATCTTGGTTTAGATTGTAATCGTATTTAAAGTCATGTACTGCATGTAGGTCAGGGATGTCAAACTCAAGGCCCACGGGCCGAATCTGGCCTGCAATGTGGTTAGATTTGACCCGCGTGGCCCTCCTGGAAAATGTAAGGGACCAACCCGTGCTGCTTTGGCCTGGTCTACCCATTGCAAAGAGGAAACATCAGGCCAGCACGGTTTCGGCCCGGTCTACCCACATCACTTCGGCCCATTCTACCCAGTGGTGGGATTCAAAGAATTTTACTACCGGTTCTGTGGGCATGGCTTGATAGGCATGGCAGGGGAAGGAAACTGCAAAATCCCCATTCCCTCCCCATCCCAGTTGCCTGCTTTCCAGCTCCGTTCTCCTGTGCAGGGCAACCAAAGAAAACCCAGCCGATCAGCTGGGATTCAGTGGGAGGCGGAGAAGAGATGGGGGCGGGCCAGTCAGAGACGGTATTCCAAACTACTCAAAATTTCCACTACCGGTTCTCCAGAACTAGTCAGAACCTGCTGAATACCACCTCTGGGTCTACCCAATGTGAAGAGGAAACATCGGGCCACGCCCACCCAGCTGGCCACGCCCACCCAGCTGGCCACGCCCACCCAGCCAGCTATGCCCAGTGAGTGGCATCTATTTGGCCACGCCCACCCAGTTGGCCACACCTGCCAGGGCCTCAAGGTCAACCACAGCCCTGATGTGGCCCTCAATAAAATTGAGTTTGACACCCCAGATATAGCTTAAAAAGGCCACACAATTGCAATCTGAAATTAGCAGCTTTAGTTTTTACTAATGACACCAGTGATCAACTCCATCCCATAATATTCATATTTCTCTGCATGGTCCTCTCCTAGGATGGGCAGCTTCTCTGGAAGAGACCAACATGAACGCAAAATTGGTTGAAGAGGTGGCACTCAAACACACTACAATGCTCTTAGGCCTTTAACTTATTTAATGACCACGATGAAATTACGAATCCAATAGCATCAGAATTTTGTTCTGCCTTTGACAATTGAATTCCAGAGAAGATAAGGATACAAAGCTGTAATATTATATCTGAAAGAGATATCACAACTTCTACTACTGGATGTGAAATTGTTCTGAATGCAAAATATTTTACATTCAGATGCGTTGGAACTTGAAACTGGATTGATTTTTTTTTTCATTTTCAAACCTCACCTGGAAACAGCCTGTTCCAAAGATGAAAAAAAAAAACCCTCTTTTTTTTAATTAGAAAAAAGGGTATTTTGGAATTCAGAATAGAGGTCAAGCTTCAAATGTTTTGTGCCTCGTTATAATAGGTGCACTGAAATATTTGAAATCAATTTTTAATAATCCAATATTAAAATAAACGGGAGTTTTCTCAGTGTAACATTACAAGAATAAACTGAATCTGAATTCAACGTCGTATTTATTGTTAATAGGCCACTGAGGCCCCCAAAGCAATTGCATTTCTGAGCAATTACAAAGAGAAGATTAAATAATTAGGAGTAAATATTGCAATAAAATGTGCCAATGTTAGCATTTAAATTCTTAACGATGAGACTGAATAATAGAATGGAGCAATGAGGAGCTGGCAGCTATTACATTATGTATGTATGAGATTCACACATGAACAGGGTGCTATTAAATATTGCAAATGAGAAACCAACCCTTTTCTGTAAATGGAAATAAATGTATAGATTTGGAAACTAGGCTTTGATGTCTTTATTTGTTGTATTGGTGTCAGAGGTTTTGTGTGTGTTTTCTAATTTGTTTAAATACACCACAAGGAGAACAGGTTTCTTACAGAAAGCAACAAAAAGTCAAGATAGGATCCCAAACCATGCAAACGCTTAGCATTTAAGATCCACCCCCCCACCCCACCCCCGTTTTTAACGTGCATTTAACTTAAATTGGGGCTGTCATCTTGGTGTTTTGCTGCCCTTGCAACAGAGCTAAACTGCTACTTTAGCACATTCATTTCAACATTCTGCTGTCTGGGTAGTCCTTGGCTTATGTCCAGAATCGAGCCCATAATTTCTGTTCTTACACGAGATATTTAAGTGAATTTTCCCTATTTTTTGCAACCTTTCTTACCACAATCGTTTAAATGAATTCCTGCAGTTCAGGGGGTGGGATTCAAATTGGTTAACAATCGGTTCTGTGGGTGTGGCTTGGTGGGTGTGGCTAGGTGGGTGTGGCTAGGTGGGTGTGGCCATGTGACTGGTTGGGCATGGCTTTTTTTTGCACACACAAACACACACCCATTTTTTCCTTCCTGAGCCCCAGGGAAGCCTCCTGGGGGGTGTTTTTCCTCCCAGAAGGCTTCCCTGGAGCTCAGGAAGGAAAAAAATGGATCCGGGGGTGGGGGTGTAACAGTATCCCCCATGCTCCATTTTGGGGTCTTCTGGGCCTCAGGGAAGGCTCCTGGGTGGCGTTTTTGCTCCCAGGAAGCTTCTCTGGGGCCCTGGCAGGAAGGCAAAAAAATGGAGCAGGGGAGAAAGGGGGAGGAACTGTGCCTCCCCTCCATTTTTTGCCTTCTTGGGCCTCGGGATCCGCCTGTGCAAAGCAGTAAGACAGCGATTGTAGGAACAGCTGATTGTCGGGATGGAAAATAAAAAGAAATGCGGTGGAGAGGAGAAGGGCAGGCGGAGAGGGGCGGGGCCAGCCAGGGGCACGATTTGCCGGTTCTCCAAACTGTGCAGAGTCATACCAACCAGTTCTATAGAACCGGTCTGAACCAGTAGAATCCCACCCCTCCTGCAGTTGTTAAATTCATAACACCGTTGTTAAGTGAATTAACCCTGTTAAAGGGGTAAAGGTAAACCATTTCCCCTGTCCACTTGTGTCTGAATCTACTGACTTATCTTCGTTTTTTAGCTGAGGGAGCCAACGTTGTCCGATGATGCTTCCACGGTCATGTGTCTGGCATAACTATATGCCAAAGGGCATGGAACACTGCTATCTTCCCACTAAAGTGGTACCTATTTATCTACTCGCATTTGCATGCTTTCAAACTGCTAGGTAGGCAGTGTTCTGACCAAGGCTTCCTGAGACAGTAACAGTCACACGCTTAGTCCTAAAAACCCTTTTTTTATGTCAACGGCTGTGAATTACATTCATTCACAGCCCGTAATGGGTCCCAAACCGTTTGTGAATAGTCCCATGGAAGTTTACCACTTTGTTTTCAGGATAAGGCTGATAAGCACCCACCTTTATCTCCCTTGAAATGCTGCCAATTACTAAATTGCCAATTAGCTGTACAAGGCCAAACGGAGCACAAAGTCAACAAAGAGCTTCAGATTTTAAACTGACCAGAACGAACCAAGTTACTTCCTGCAAAGGCTCCTGTCCCTTTGCTCCTCCTTTATGTCTTATAGGAGGGGCCAATCATCTCCAAGCCTTACTCCCAAGTCGCTCCTTTTGTCTTAATTGTTCTTGCCTTCTGGCAGCTCTGTGCACACATGCACTAGGAACAGGCTCCCCCTGTTCCTCTGCCTCACTGATGTCAGATTCTGGAGGCTCCAGAGTCAGCACATAACTCCCAGATGGCCCTGGACCATTTCTGTGTTGGATGCAGGACCCTTGTCTGAGTCCTCTCCAGACTCTAGGACTGGCCCATGTTCCTCTCCACTATCCAATTCTGTTGCCAGCTCTGCAGGCCGCTGGCGGACCATAACAGGAGCAAGCAATAGGAGCTCACTCTGTCCTGCACACTTGGGTCTCAAACCCAGGCTGTCAGCTCTCCAGCTCACCAGCTCAACACTTTTAACCTTTTTGACTTCCAACATTCTTTTCTATGTCCCTTTTCTATTTAAAATTTAACATTTTTTCTAACCACTGCAGAGTAAAGTTTCCATCCTTAATACAAATATTAAGATTTATGAAGGGTTTAATGCACAGCCTCAACCTGCTTGAGATTTTTACTTATGCACTGAAAGAAGCTGCAAATTATCCCATGTTTATGAGTTTGGAAGTTGAAATCATAACACAGCTCAGATGACTTTATGATAGCTAAGGCTTCCAAATATTGCATTAAATGTTTTCATTCCAAATGCAAAAAAGTGTAGTAATGATGATGGTATTTGCCACACCCTAAGAAACTACAAGCATTCTCAGCTATTTTTTATCCCAACGTTTATTTCATTACATATTTCCAGAACTTTCAAGAAGGCAAAAACATTCCTTGAGCTACTAAGCCATACATTTTCATGCCTGCCCCTTATCATCCCGGGAACATCTTTTAATAGAATGCAAAATAGACTGTTTCTCGGAGCGAGAAGTTGTTCTCCTTCACCAGAACTTGAAGCCGCTCAGATTTCTATCGGTTTCACAATTGGCTTCCTGATGTGCCTCATGTTGGCGCTGGGCTCACTCGGTTTGAACGGCACCAGCGAGCCGTAAGGCCTCGGTAGCGGGAGAACGTTTTCGTCATCGGGGATGTAGGCGTTGGGACGCTGCTCCGCCGTAGTGTGGACGGCAGTTGGCAGGGCAGCCTGTTCTTCTTCCAGGGCCTGCTGGAAGAAGATTAGATCTCAGTTAAATTTCTTCGGAGCCACTGGCTGAGAGGCATTGACCTGTTAGAGCAGGGGTGTCAAACTCAAGGCCCGCAGGCCAAATGTGGCCCATGGGGGTGCTTAAATCTGGTCCATGGGGCTGGCCTGCAAATAGCAATCGCCTCTGACAGCCAAAACGGGGTACGGGCAGCCCCCATGTGGCCCATTTTTAGCCTGGATGACCTGGAGCACTTTGCCAGACAAAACAGGGCACGGGAGGAGGGCATGTGCGGCCCCTGCGTGGCCTGTTTTTGGCCTGGACAGCCTCCTGCAGCACTTTGGCAGCCAAAATAGAGTTTGGGGGGGCTGTGCCTCCACACCCCATTTTGGCTGGCAAAGTGCTTCAGGAAGCTGTTCAGGCCATCTTCCCCCCCCCCCCCCCAACCAGCCATGAAGGAGAACTACAATGCTGATCCAGCCCTTGAAGACATCCAGTTTGAGACCCCCGTATTAGAGCAAAGGGCCCAAACACCCCTCCCCGGTCCGTGGGCCACTATTGGGCCACGGCATGCCAACAACCGGGCTGTGCAAACAAGCGAGCCCCCTCTGTGGAGTGCAGTCAGTATGCGAAACTACGCCCCCTCTGATCCACGGAAAAACCTTTCTCCACGGAACCGGTCCCTGGTGCCCCAAAGGTTGGGGGGCCACTGTGCTAGAGGGGAGCCCCCTCTATTTTCCCTGACTTTAGAACAGTTATATAAGCCGGCTTGTTTGGCCGAAGGAGGGATGTTGTTTTCCTAATTTTTTTTCATTGCTCTCTTTCCTTGTTCAAATTTTCTACGGGTATTCCTCGACTTACAGCAGTTCATTTAGTGACAGTTCAAAGGTACATAAGGTACTGAAAAAAAATGACAGGTGAACGTTTTTCACACTTAGCAACCCTTTGTAGCCTCCCCATGACCATGTGATCAAAATTCAGATGCTTGGCAACTGGTACATACTTATGACCGTTGCTGTGTTCCCTTTGCAATTTCCCCTTTGGCCACCTTTTGGCAAGTAAAATCAATGGGGAAGCCAGATTCGCTTAACCTTCTGTCTTCCTAGCTTAACAGCTGTAGTGATTCACTTAAACAATTGTGGCAGGAAAGGTCACAAAATGGGGCAAAACTCGACAAATGCCTTGCTTAAACAACATAAATTTTGGGCTTAATTGTAGTCATAAGTCGAGGATTACACGTATTAGTATTAAGATGAATGTACATTAGTTTCCCTGCTGTTCTGTTCTTTTATATTTTCTATTCTATTATTTTCTATTCTATTTATTCTGTTTTCTATTTTATTTAATTCTATTTATTCTATAGTCTATTCTTCTATTCTATTCTATTCTATTCTATTCTATTCTATTCTATTCTATTCTATTCTATTCTCTCTCCTATTCTATTCTCTTCTATTCCATTCCATATTTTCTATTCTGTTCTGTTCTGTTCTCTAATTCTATTCTGTTCTATTCTGTTCTATTCCATTCCATTCCATTCCATATTTTCTATTCTATTCCATTTTATTCCATTCTATTTTCTATTCAATTCTATTTTCTATTCCATTCCATTCCATATTTTCTATTCCGTTCTGTTCTGTTCTGTTCTGTTCTGTTCTACTGTACTGTACTGTACTGTACTGTACTGTACTGTACTCTACTCTACTCTACTCTACTCTACTCTACTCTACTCTACTCTATTCTGTTCTTATTCCATTCCATTCTGTTTTCTATTCCATTCCATTCTATTCTGTTCCGTTCTGTTCCAATTGTTGAGAGACTCACTTTCGCTTTGGCTTCGCTTGCGATCGCGTGCATTTTTTCATCCCGCAGCACCCTGAGCCAGTCCTGCTCGATTTCTCTCGGAGGAGGAAGCCCTTTCTCCAGTCGGGAGACGATGCACAGGATGGTCTGCTCTTTGTCCCGCATCTCTTGCTGCAGCTTAATGGCGAAGGCCTGCTGCATGGACAGCTCCGCAATGAGAGCCATGATCTTCTGAGTGGTGCTCTTTATTTTCTCTTGCAGCATGTTCATCTGGAAGGAATCACAGCAACAAAGAAGGTGGAATCATACGGGCTGGAAGGAACCTCAGCGGTCTTCTAGTCCAGCCCTCCCCCTGCCCCCCTCCGGTGCTCAAGGCTGGAGACCTTATATCATCCCTGTCACAATCAGGAGGCTCTGATTTCTCTCTCTGGGCACAGTGAGAACATACCTGCTGGGGGGAAAAACTCCACATTGGAGACAGGAAGGGCATCCGGCCAGTAAAGACTCCATTCAGTTGCCCAGATTCTACCTCCAGGTAGAGGGATTATGGAGTCATTAAAAGAAGATGAAATGGTTATCTGTTTTTGAAAACCACCTGTTGATGGAGCATCCTATTATGACCCAAGTGGTCAAGGCAAGGCAGGGGCCTAGAGCAGTGGTGGCTAACGTGTTTGGCCTCCTGTGCCAAAAATTGTGTGCCAGCCGTTCCAAAGCTCCAGGGAAGCAGAGGCCAAACGCAGAGAAGGGCTCAGTCCAAATCAAAAGGCAAAGAGCAATCTCCCAAGCGAGGCAAGGCCAATGGCAACAGGCATGACTAGAGGCCGTGTGTGTGTGTGTGTGTGTGTGTGTGTGTGTGTAAGCCAAAGCAAAAAATTCTTCCTGGCAAAGACTTAATTCCTTAAGTTTCTCCCCTCCAGGTGTTCCTTGTGAGGAGGGGGTGAGGCGACCTCCTCCCGAGTAGCCTCGCAGACCTTCTTTGAGCTCTCTCTGCTCTCTGTCTCCTTGGATCGAGTGGAGGAGGCAGCTGTTCCTTGTCAGGAGACCAGCTGCCTATCGGCACCACTGCTGGTCAACATTCGATCCTCCCCTGTGTTTGTGCTGATCCTCCCCTATGTCTCACTTAACAACAAAATTTGGGGGCTCAATTGCGGTCGTAAGGTCAAGGGCAACCTGTATTTATGACAACTGTGGTGTTGCAGGATCACACGATCCCCTTTTGCGACCTTCCGATCAGCAAAGTCAACGGCGAAAACCAGATTCACTGAACATCCGTGGTGCTGCTTTTAAGAATGACAGTGATTCGCTTAACCACGCTGGCAAGACAGGTTGTAAAATGGGGCAAATTTCACTCAACCAATGCCTCACAGAAATTTTGGGCTCCATTGTGGTCGTAGGTCGAGGACCACCTGTAGTGATAGCTGGCATCATCAAACCAAATCGTGATCATCCTACCTTTTTAGCCAGGATTAAGGTTTCCTCCTTGCCATTTTCTGCTTTGACGCTGATTTTCTCCATCATTCGGGAAACTTGCTCATAAATAAACTCCTTTTCCAGCAGTTTCTCCTCTTTCCGAGTCAGATTAATTTCCAACTGTTAGCAAAAGCGAACATGTAAAAGCAGACAAATACAAATAATCAGGAAGAAGCCAAAATCATTTTGACATTAAGACTTATGATGGCCTTTGACTGGGGCTTGAAGACGGGAGACACCTCCAATATTCTTGGGTTAAGTCACGACCGCTTTCCCTAACCAACGTTTTTAACAAAACGCTTAACTATCATTTGTAATCTCTACATTTTGGGCAGCTCTAGCCCACAGAGACACACTGGAAAGGAAGGAAGGAAGGAAGGAAGGAAGGAAGGAAGG